CAATCATGGAATCCAAATTATGTAGCCGCACGTGTTGACTGACTCCTCGAGCGACGACTTCTCAGACGGACGATTCACTCATCGTTTAAATCTATTCTTCATCTGAGCTACTTATGGTAGGCAAGTAGTGCGAATATCTCAGGAATTTTTGGTGAAAATCTTTTTCTATGCTGAACAACGAGAAGCAATGGACAGCGGTTTGCCAACAGATGTACAGTGATTCTCGGTCTTTCAACGCAGAACAAAACCTCCATGGAACTTTCCCAAACCTATTCACACCACTTAAGACTTTGTATTCCACCTGAGATAATGGGGGTCCAGCCCAGGCTCAAGAAAGATTTAGCAATCATGGGTGTTGACCGTATACAGCTCTATAGAAACCAGTTCAGTACTGGTTCCCCTAATATGGATAGTTGACATGGATTCGCCTCTCGTGCACCGGGTAAATCGCTTGCTATTTTTCCACAGATTCATTTATCCATCTATGTCTTAAAGGAAGGATTTTTTAACGTTTGAGGCTGAACAATCGAGTCAATTTGGATATAGTCAAGACTGGTTTGTTGTTCTCCGACGTCGGTGAATCGTCACTTGCTGGGTCCCAAGAACAAAGCGCTTCATTTAGCAGTCAACGTGCGAACCAAACCAGGGATCACCAATGAGGATCCTGATGGGACTGGCAACAGGTTTACGCACACACGTGACAGGTTGTCTGATCACACAGACGCTAGTAGACATCTGAGGATCAGAGTCATAAAAACGACACATTCGAAGACCATGCTTTGTCGCTATGAGAAGAGACATCTGGCTTGGATGGTTACTAGGCTAGTCAACAAAGGTTCGTTGTTTCACAAGTTCACGATTCTGCGCGCACCATTCGGATCGATGCATAAACTGCCGTTAGGCTGACGGCTTACCACGCAACCTGCTGGCAGGTTCGCTCCAGTCGGCTGTTGTAGGGCATTTCTGTGTTGTGTTACCTGTTACCGACTAAAGCAGCCAGTTAGGGGACCAAAAACTGTTATTGCATCGGCTCCGATGTGTTTGTTGCCACGGCTGTTGTGCTATTGTAGCTACCCTATCACCCACATACTTGACTGTTCATCTCAAAGTCGCTCACTGGATCACGTGACTTGTCTTTTTCATACTCAAAAACCAAGTCCTATTAGGCTGACGCATCGGACATCGATTGTATCGCCTAGTCAGTGTAGCAACTACTCATGCGCTCACGCGCCCACGTACGCGCAAACGGACCGACATATAGGGAAACCGAACCAGTCGGCAAACACAGACTCGCGCGCGCAATGAGCAGGAAGTCAACCACTCTCCACAAACTCCACGGACAATTACGGAACACGTATAGCAGCCACACTGCGGAGAAAACACGTTCCCACCGTCCGTACATTCACCAAGGCACTCATCGACGATAAAATCCTTTTTCAACTTCCTCCCATTTCGCATTGCATTTATTTTCACACGTGTTGCAACCCACGACTTTCAACCATAGTAAAAAATTTTATTAGTGCATACACCTGATCTGTATTATGGATCTCATCAACAGTGCACTAACACTACCTCAAGTCTTTCCCTCATGGAAGGAATAAGCCTCTGGAGATCTTGACCATTCTACCTTGCCCGCATGTGGCCAGGCGGCTCTCATGCTCGGAAAGGCTTGAGTTGACGCGTCGCAGACTTTTGTTAGGTGGAAAGCACGTGAAAATATCTTTCAGTCGCCCGCTGCTTCACTCCAGCGTTCGTGTGCAGCGTTTGTTCACAGGTACGCCAGAGACTTTTCCACACACACTTGATCCCAATGGTCTTTGGATTTGTGTCCAGAATGAAATTGGAACATTCAGCTAATCAGTCCCGTCAGGACGGGAAGGATTCGTTTTTTCATCACACTTCAGAGATCCGAATGGTAACTAGATTAAGCTTCCGCGTTGGGAATTTTTACTCCTCAGGTAACTTAGTGGATATTGCCGTAGTGTTTCGATTGGGCACCCAGGGTTCGAATTTTCACACGCAGCCTTCAGCTCGGCCGACAATCTTGAAATGCTGGCCACAAGTGTCAATACAGCAGCATCTTAAAGACTGACTAAAGACCTTCAGTAGCTCTCTATCCATGTTGTTCCCCATGGGCACTTCTGGTGGGCGAAGTTCTTGAATTCCCGTTACGTTACCGCACAACAATAAAGAAAGAAGGGATTCACTGGAATCGATTTTCGTTCTTATTAAAGCTCATCAGTAGTGCATATCTTCGGTCGTGCCGGCATTTGACATCAAACTGAAATTTTGGAAAAAAGTGTTATTGTTTCCGTTAGTTCAAATATTCAGAGTCCCTTGTGGGGAAGGAAACACCCGGACCACCAGTCTCTACTTTCTTAGTCGAAGGGAAATGTGAGTGAGGCTGATTCACCTTGCCAAGGCTTTAGTGATGCATGGCCGATAAACTCCGCCGTTAAAACTTGAAGCCAGTTTAAAGTCAGCGCCATAATTGATTTCATGAGCAATGGCACTGATCGTACTGGGAATGGATAGAACACTCATACGGTCTCAGAGCGTTACTCAACCGGAAAAATCAATCGTTGTGAAACAGGCCTTCAAGAGATGTCATGTCTATATTCCACACGCAGTGAGATGGACGAGATGGCTCAGTGGTTAGAACGCGAATTTACTGACCGGAAGGTCCATGGTTCGAACCTGACCTCTACATCTTGACTTCTCCTTTCTGGGCTTGGGCAACCTTCAACTGTTATGACAGCTAGGCACCGAAAGGGTGCTACATCTGAACGAGAGACATCCAGCGAGTTTGGAACCAATGCATTGGCAATTCACATCACCTCATTGTTCAATGACTGCTTCCTTGAGAGTCAGCTTCGCAGAGAAACGCTCACACAGTTCACACCTTTTCCTTCTGACTCGATTACTTGTAGTTTGTTGGCAGTGAGGAGAAGTGGTCATCTACCGACTGAAGGATCTCAGATTTGAGCATCCGTGAAGATTTGAGGGAGTGATCGTCGATGCTACAGACGTTGACACCCAACAACATGTTAGCTGGTACATGTGATCCAGCGTTGACTGATGGGCCTTTCCCAAAAGCTGTATCTTTGACCATTCTGCTATTTCGGTTTGTCGAATGTGAGTTAACGCAACATAAGTTGTGCTGAACTTTTAGTAGGTTCATAAACAATCTGTTAACCTCAGCATCTTGCGATTCACACCAAATTTCCAGTTTTGACTCAACCGCTGTCCACACAAGTAAGACACCTATTGGTCAGCCTTAGATTTCCGATCCCAACCAAATTTAGCCGTTGGTACTGACTGTTTGTTCGCGCAAGCCTACCACACGATGGGTAGAAGAGCAACGCGATAAAAACCGAAGACCAGTCTGCGTATGAAGGCAAAAAAATGCTGTCGAACCTGATGGATCACCATCACACAAGGAAAGGCCGGGGGGGGGGGCTTTAAACCTATTTGGTATTTCCGGCGTCACGTCCCCATGAGGTCCGGTGAAAGGACGGATGCCCCTACATACGTCGCTCGTTGGTGAACACATACTAATCGTTTGCAAACAATTTGACATGAAGGTAAATATCTCTCATCTGCAAAAAGCTGTTGAAAAGTGAACATTTGTAAGTATCCTGTTGAAGTTTTCCTGGACATTGTTTGAATAATAAACAATACTGAAGAATAACTGCAAAAGGATTCTATAATTTTTGTGCCAGCGTTCAGATGTTATGAGATGTCTGCTTGAACAGCAGACCATACACTACTTGCATGCATCATCAGTAGTATGCCCTGTTACACTAGTAGCCAATGGGTACCGTTCGGAGTACCACACCTTTGTGGTGCCAGCATCACACAGCTTCCCAACTAACCACCGAATCTTGTGACATGTCAAGCCAATGACAGCCTTGGAAAAACCATCCACAGTTGGAAAAAAGATGCAATTACGTTGCAATTTTATCGTTGACCAAACGTTGCTTACATGAAAGGATCAGTTAGATTTTGATCAAGCCAGAGCAGGAGTAAAGCCATAGAAACCCCAAAATGGGCGCATTTTATGCAACTTCATGTAAATGAGGTAAATGTGTCTCTAATAAACTCACTGCCTCGCTGAGGGGACACTCAAATTAATCGGTAGGATGAAACAACTTTGTCGGTAAATGACGGCCGTCAGAAATCACACTCTAAATTTACAACACCATGTTTCGAGGTAGTCAGACATTTTTCGACGATATCCCACACTCACTCAAGACTGGAAGAGCTGCGAGGATAACAAACGGAACTCCTGCTTAGAATTAGCTCAGCAGACTGACGGCCAATGATAACTAGAAAGTGGCGGGGGAACAGCAGACTGACGGCCAATGATAAGTAGAAAGTGGCGGGGAAACGAAGTGTGTCCAGTTCAAACAAGCGAATTCAAGGCAAATGTTGCCCATCTTGAAATGAATTCTCTCCCAACTATTGAGGAAGAAATTATTGTTCGACGAACTAGGCACATATTGCAGTTAAATGGATGCAACTCTCGTACATCAGAAAGCGATTTCGGTCGAAAGAGAGACTCTGTGCGCTTGGTTTCCAACCCGTGGAATAGATTAAACTGTGGAGCACATATTCAAAATTTGCGACCACTGTTTTTGACGCGACTTGGCAGGGGAATCGCATAACTCATCAACCTAACCCAGTGGAGATTGCCCTTCATTTTTTGACAACTGTCTTTAGGTGCGTGACTTGAGCGTCCCCAACGGACCGCAATAATGCCCTGACATCAAACAGACCCAAAATCCACGAGAAATACCAATGCGCTAAATGTCTAAAGGTGCAATATTTTGTCTCAGAAACCAAATTAATGGCTACTTTGGAAAGTCGTAGGATTTCAAATGACCAAGGCATCATTCAGGGCCATGTAACTCAAAAAAGTTTCGAGGGAAAGCCTTGGGAAAATATCTTTGAGAGTCATCTTTACGAGGTGATGTCTTGGCCATCTTCTTTTGACTTACTTTGTCACATGATGGCTCCATTTTCTCGGGTTCCATTATCTGAGTACCTGTGAAAAAACGCGGAAAAAATTGACATTCAGCACAGGACACCCAGTGGGCTACGTGTTCTGACTCTGTACCTAATGGATGCGTTCAGCAGTGAGCCAAGTACACCAACCCAGCATCATTGTCCAAATCCTAAGCAGGACACTCCAATTTTCATAGGCTCATCATTCGTTTAGGACTGCCCTAACACGAAAAGTAGCCTTACTCAGTCGTGCACCATAGGTCCCCCAGCTTTAATTAGTAGGAAGGATGGCCGTGTGATCATCACGACAAGTTTTGTTGCGATCTGGAAAGAATTCAAGGCACAAACGCGAAATTGATGGGAAACCCCACTGAATAGTACTCGACACGAATCTGGGTCATGAGGTTTTTGTCATCGGTAAAGCGGTCCCGTTAACCCTCAGAATGTTAATCGGGTGGATTGTCTTTCCGACTGACTTTAGTTCTAGAAGTATACAGACAATCAAAGCCTTTTGGGTAGATTGCATTGCTTGACTGACGCTGTCGGTGGCTCAAGCACGACTGATGAAGTTGCCGAACAAGGTTTCAGCATTTCATCTGCCTAGATATACGGTACTTTGAAAACCTTTATCGGAAAGCTGTCTTCCTAGAGTAATTCTAGGACATTCTTTGTCTAGCCTGACTTACTCAGTATGAAGACCATCCCTAGGAGAGTTTTTCGCTACTTTGGAGTGTCTGCTCTTTGGTGCAGTGTTGAAACTGAGGTATATTTTCAGAGTCTAGCCCCTCTATCTGACAGTTTTCAGTGTATTACCTGGGTTACACTGAAGCCCGAAACACAACTCCTTATTTCTCGAATCCCGTTCAGTTCATCACAGGTTCACTCTGCGCACGGAACATGTTTTCATGTGAAACAGGAAGCCTCCTACTAGATGCGTCTTTTTAACTTCCAAGGCACCAATTGCATGACTTCACTACGCTTTGATCTGCTTTCCACTATGGTGTTTTGATTCATGACCCTGGCCAGGACAATTCTCCAGTTTTGGCGAGTTTGGGGATGAACTGATGGATTTATTGTTTCCAAAACCTCTCCTAAAATATGGACTTCTCAACCGGTTTCAAGCGGCTTCCAGCTGACCAAACACGGTAAGACTTGTGTAGCCGTAATACACAACGCATAAGGTTGCTGAAAACTTCTCAACAGCCCACAACCAGTTTCGCCAACCTTGGTGCTCATCAGGCAGACAAAGTCCCCGAGTTTTCGTCAACTTTATATTCTACTTGAACCCCAATTGCATGAAATTAGCCAGTATGGTTTTGATGGGAGACTCACCTGGAACCTAGCTCAGTCTCAGGTTTATGATGGCCACGATATCACGAATATCGTACCAGCTGCAACATGAGGCAGACTAATACAGCACATTCGCTTGCATAAAAAGATCATAAACGAGAGATTAAGTTGAGCCTCTCGTGAAAGCCAAATTGATATGCAAATGAGTGCATTTGTCGAAATCAGTCCAATTTGGGTTCAAGAAGAACATGAGGCTGGCGGAAATTCGGGGACTGTGCCTATCTGATGAGCCCCAAGGGGGGCGAAACTGGTCCTGGGCTGTCAAAGAGTTTTCAGCGATCCTCCACGATGCTAAGACTTGAAATCACTGAGGTTGGCCCAATCAGGGAGTCAGCTGATTTACTGAAACAAGCTGTCTGATTGGTCAGCCCACCCAACCAATGAAATAGACCCCGTGTGCTGTTGTCTAACTACGCGTGAGGCGAGCGCCGCACTACCAAGTTTTCCCTGAACGACACCTTTTGATAAAGCCATGTTTTACCAGGGAGAACTGACACGCTGTGGTGAAAAAAGGAAGTAGTGGAACAAATCACATTAACTTAATCATGCCACTAAGCGCAAATTAGCGGTTTTAAAGTAAGCACTGTCCATTCAATCTCCCCAAGGAATCACTTAACATCAGCTGTTATTACTTGCCTTATTGGGCGATCTACTCAGGTATCTAGAATACCTGATAAATGAGTCTTGCGAATACGAACACTAGCAAGGCGAATTAGGATCAAGAACAAAAAACATGGGTTGTTTTGGCGTCAAATCTTTAAATAATCTGACTTACTTTGCACTCCAATCGTTGTGACATCCAAGAATTTTGTCCACTCCACTGGAAGCAGTCAGGATACAGGGCTCGTGTTGGAATAAGTGTTAGATACTATTGTGTTAAACGAACTCTTAGAAATCTATGTGACTACAGGGATTAGAAGCTGTACAGTGGCTTAAATTAGGTTTAATTCGTTTGGTATGGATCCATTGAAAAAGCGTACAGAATAAGAAATTTGGGAGCCTCTGAGCAAACTGAGAGGGGCAGAGACAGACAAACTATTCATTTTTTTAGAATTTGGATTGAACTGTCGATTATAACCTATCCGTTTTACACAACTTAGCAACCACATGTCATGAAAAGGCATACAGGGGTTGCTCGTAAACCTGCGACCTACGTAAACACATGGTTTATTAAATAGGGGTGGGAGTCCTTATCATTGTAGGCGACAGTAAATCAGCAAGTCTGAAAATGACGGTAGATGGTTACTTGGGTTTCGCACAGAGACTTCTGTTGGCAAGTCGAAGCATAAGGTATAAACGTCAGGGGAGGGGTCTGTGTAGTGAACACGAAGCGGTCAGTAACCTACCTAATTCAAGGAGCTATAAAACCAGGACTATTGGGTAAGGCAGTGCGGAGCTTGGGATAAGAGAAAGCTGAAGGCTTCCGTCTACCCAGTCTGCTGTTTGAAGTAAATAAGGTGACTGGGCTACTGTCACCAGGCGACCAGGTGATCTGACGTGTGATTAGGTCCACTTCACTGTTTCAAGTGTACCGGAAAGCTACTAAGGACAACAGACAGAGGGGCTCTCGATGAGAGCTTCCGATGCAATGGGTGACCGAAAGTCGGTGGCGGTTAATGGAATACTAGAGTGCCCCAACATTATATGTACAAGTACATATATTCTCCGCTTCTGTCAAACTTGGGAAACATGGGTTACTAATGGATACAAATCAGCACACCCACAAGACAAAGGTACTTCCCGTCATGTTGTACTCCTTTAAAACACCAAACACCTACCGGACTACCCAGAGAAGTTAAGCAGCTTTCATCATCGTCATTCATCACTGTCAGCTGTAATAACCAAGTACTTGTTGTAAAGTGGTTGTAATTGCCGCAGTTTGGTTCACCAATGATTCGGGGGTGGGCGGTAGGTAGCTGCGCATTGCAGCTGATGATGATAAATTGGGAGATGATAAATTGGTACATAAATGCAGCACTGTCAGTGGGCTGTCAAGTGGGGGTATTGGGAAGGGAGCTATGCATTGACGGCAGTAGCTTGGATGCAAGAGCAAGGCCATATCTGACAATGTCTCTAACCAGTGATGTGGACCGTCTCGGGGTCCCCATCCAGGAAGGTGGCAATGACCAGAGCAGGTGAGTTTGCTGGTAGTAGCTTTCACACTTCGCTGCCAAGTCATTGTTTGAACGCCTCTGGCTCTCTTCCACCCCTCACGTGGTTGTGCGAAAAGAACCCTTCGAGAAAGTCGGTTGACTGGCATACGGAGCATGTGGCCAAGTCAGCGCAACCTATGCAGTGTGATCAGATCATCTTTTGACTGGTGTTCACTGGACTGAACAAGTGCCGGACATGGAGATCGCATACATCTATCTATGGTGGGGACATTTGTCAAATGGACGGAAACAAGGTTTCGAATAATCTTCTCGGTGGTCAACGGAGCCCTGGCAGATAAAAGCTACGACTTCGTGATACTTTTGGTCGGAAGTCTAAAAGAGGATACCATGGAGGGGAATAATACTACTTGGGATTCGTCATTTCAACGATCTCAAACTTCGAGCCACAGAGCGTGTAAGGTGAAAAAGTTTTATCGGAACCGAGCAGGTTGAATCTACAGCGGTCGTGTTTGTGGCGCAGGATTAGTCGTCCACCAGCTGACACGCAGTGATCCGTCGGTGAGACGTTGGTGGTAGCGTACAGTGATAGCATTGGCATTGTACAGACCGAAAGATGCAAAAATGTAGAAGAATATTGAACAATCCGAGGCGCCAGGCTTGCGATGGTGCTAGAAGTTGCTTTCAATAATCAATATCGTGTGGACGGAATTAAATCGTATCATGACCACGCCAGGTATTCTGGGTCCGACCCCAGACTATCTTGAGCGGACAACATCGGGCTCAACTGATACGCTAGTCTCAACTAGGTCCGCAAACCCTTACCTCAATGCCCTGGATATGCCAGAGCTTTTTGAGGATGATAGAGGCAACCCTCTGTGACCGTCGTTGTGCAGAACCGCTTGAATGATAGCTGGCATCGGTTAGCCGTATGTGCGTCGAGGATGTATACCCCGAGAGGTGTGGACCATTAGATGACCAACTGAATGCACTACAGGGCTGAACAGATTCAAAGATTCCGGGTAACCATTTCGCATGCCGGTGGTTTTCGAAATGCCACCACATGGTCGCCTTACACTTTGTTTCCTCGGAATATCGGAGCTTCAAGCGGGTGGGTCAGCACAAACCGTATTTTGCTTCATACACTCTACACGGGTGCCCATCGGTTTCGTTTGGTATGACAGACCAACCCGGAAACGGATACCCTACTTCACTGACCCTTTTCAGTTACTGCGGTTTGAGCTGACCGCCCAACGGAGTTCTGACCTACAATCGAGAGAATAGAGGAGCATGTATCTAACCGATTCACTGCTTTCTACGTAGGTGCTCAGAAGTGCCGCATTCAGTGCCCATCCTCACATATATCGGTCTTCTAAGAAGGCTGATTTTTATGTTGTCGTACGTTTGTTAATTTTGTGGTTGACTGTTGATTACTGAGGGGAAATCTTCTACCTTATCTCTGTTTAGGCAGTTTACGCGGATGAATCGCATAACCTAAGCAAACAAACGTGCTGATGGAGAGATGTCTTCTTGTGGATGAAGCCAATCTATTCTGAAAAATCAGGAAGCACCGCACGACGATTTTATCATTATAGGGATTTATCAACAGTGCGCACCTCAAGAAACTCCAGGAGGTAGATTCGAACCCGTGACCTTTCGGCGAGTGGTTTGAATATCTAATCTTTCGGCCATGATAGGGTAGTCAGTATTTTGACTAACTGACACCTAGGACATGGCAGCTCGTAACTGCCCGGGAAATCTCGGGTTCAAAACTATCAGGAGTTTCGTGAGATGGGCACTGCACATGATTTCCGATGAAGATAAAACATCCATGCACTACTTGTCAGGGGTGTTCAGCACTTACAGGATGCAATCGAGGAACACTGTTTATGTCCAATCAATAAATTCTACACGAGCCAAAACCTTACGTTTAGTTGTTGGAAACGGTTTGTTCATGCGAAACCTTCTTTACGGAATATGACATACCCAGAACTATATTGCAATGTTCTTGTTTCTTGTTGAGTTGTTCGGTGACCAACCACACAACTGCCTCGTCCGATAAACCACCGTCTTGTTGTAAAACCTTCTTGTTAGTCTTGAATGAGAAGTACTGAATTCCTAGATTTTCACCCATGTACTCACAGCCGAAAATCAGACCGGGTGTAGTCACCCTTGAAGCTATTCTCGTTAACTGAAAAGAAAACAGAAGTGCACGGATAACTGAGTTTACTACTGAGAAACTATTGAACAGGATTATTCTAGAAAGCTCGGGCCTTGGGGCAAAGCTATTCATCTTTCAAGATTGACAAATCAGATGTTGACTTCACTTCCTCTCCTAACCGCGTACCTACCTGTCATAATAATCTTGTTTAGTAAGCCACAGTCAGGTGCACTAAACAGCCACTCTCTCATTTGAATCGACAAATAGATAGACGAACAATTTATTCCATGGTATGACGCCGAAACAAGTCGCACTGCTCCGTCATCTAGCGTCAGTCCAATCGATCACAGCAGTTCCTGATGCCTTCTTACCACCGTGAACCCGAGTCTGGATAGCCGCTTGATAGCCTGATGCGCTTGGCCAAACCAAAGTGTAAGATCCGGACGGCTAAGGATCTCACAGGACGATTGCGACTATTAGATTATACGCAGGTCGTAGCCACCAGTCAATAGGATCAGACGGACGTGGGGCAGCAGATGATATATTGAAGACTGACAGGAACTGGTTAATC